CAGCAGCAGCAGCAGGGCTGCTGCTGCTGCTGCTGCTGCTGCTGCTGCTGCTGCTGCTGCTGCTGCTGCTGCTGCTGCTGCTGCTGCTGCTGCTTGAAGCTCCTGGATCCCTCAGAAGAGCGGTTTCTGAGGCGCCCTCCCCCTGGTCACGAGCTGCTGCATGCGCTGCATGCGCTGGAGTGAGCGGGGGGCTGGCTGCATGAGTTGCATGCGGCAGCTGTAGCGGCTTTGAGTCCGCCGCAGAGCCGAAATCGACGAAATTCAATATCCCCAGTTGGCCCTGAGAGGCCTCCGGAAGCCCTTGATCTGCGCTAGTTGGCATTTTCCAGTGCACCGGAGACCAATGGTCCTCGAGTTGCGCAAGAACTGCGGAAGTTCAAGTCCATTCAAGGCAGCGACGGACTTGTGCTGGCGGCTGCGGCACGGGCTGCATTGCCGTTCCCGCCGCCTGGGAAGCCGCCGCAGGAAAAGGCTTCAATTATTCAGTTTCCATTCAAAGAATTAATCTCCTCCGCAGCTGCTGCAGCTCAGAACGCCGCTCCAGCTGGGTTTGCATGCGCTGCGACGACTGCGCCAGAGCGCCGTTTTAGATGGGGAAAGCGGGAGTTTTGGGGCGTTTTCTTGCGTCTGCAGCCGTTTAAACCACTTCATGTTGAAATTAAAGAGGTGAAGAAGCCTCCTGATAAGAATTAAGAGGCTAATAGCGCAGGCTGTGTAGCCGCCGCGCCGCCTGGCAGCATCGGTCGAGGCGCGGCTGTGTCTATCGCAGCCCCTTCCGCCGTCCCTGAAGTTTGGCTTCTTTTTATTGAAACGATTTGAAATAAACACTTGATGCAAATTATGGCGCACTGAAATCCACGTAATAGAGCCAGATCACACTGTACGCGCTGTGCTGATGACCCACTCAACCGCATAGCCATTCGAGAACCAGCCACGCAGTTGGTGCCCTCCGCTGGGTAATCGTTTTATTTTCCCTGAAATAATAACGTTTTTTGAATAATTGAATATGTTGCAGCTGCGAAATTTAGAAATCGAAGAGCCTTCCGGTTCACAACGACGCAGCGCTGCGCAGCGACAGAACATGAACGCGGCCGGGCGCTTGGCGCTCGAGCTGTTGAATGCAGCCTTATTCAGCAAAATTTAGGGAATTTAAATAATAAATATTCTTTTTGTCACCCAAAGGCCTCAACAGAAGCACTATTTTAGGGATAGATCGTTGAATTGAGCTGCTGCAGCGTGGGCTGCGTGCGCTGAAGGGGAAGCTGCTAAGGAAGCGAACGCAAAATTGCGCCAAGAGGCCACAGTGTGAGTAACTGAACAATTCTGTCTTGTTCTGGAATGCCAATTAGAATAAATCCAAACTCTGAGTCCACATTTCGAAAATGACTTCAATATCCCCAGTGTTCAACTTGAATTGGTAACAAACGAAATTCAAGTCTTTTTTAAAACATGCACTTTTTTGCTGCTGCTCTCGTTCAACTTGCAACAGCGCTACAAGCCCATTACAGGCATTCATCTGCCTTGTGGCAGCTCACTTGGCTTTACTTGCTGCAAAAAAAAGGATTAAGAGATCAATACCTTTGCTGCTGCTGCTGCTGCTGCTGTTTTGATTCCTTATCTCTTCTCCTGATAGCCATTTGAGCCAACGCAACCGCCTGGGGAAGCAGCAGCAGCAAGAAGCCCAGAAGTGCTGCTGCTGCGCCGTTTGGATGTGCAGGCAGCAGCAGCAAGCGCAGCTAGCTGCCCCACATGCAGCAGCACTTTGCCTCTGCTGCACCACCGGCGCTGCAGCAAAGTAGTATTTCAATTCGAAGGCTTTGGTCTTCACCTTTGGGAATTTAAAAGCTCTTAAAACAGGGAAAAGGGGCAGCTTTGATGGGCTATATTTGCAGCTTTTAAAGATCCTTTTGTGCAGCAGCAGCAGCAGCAGCAGCAAAAGGCTTTCTATCTGTAGGCCAGTTTCGTTATCTAAGCATCACCGTGGGCCCCTGCTGCAGCCTGGGGACCCCACTGCCCCTAGAGTTGAACTTTGGGGCTTTTAAATGCATGCATGCATTTTAACATTTCGTATTTGTTGTATTAAAAGATTTTAATGGACTTCTACTCTCTGGAGCCCTTTAATCTGTTATTTAACCTTTTGTTTTCTAGACGAGCTGCGCGGGGGGCCCCCTGGGGGCCCCCAATAAGAGCCGTTGAGCTTGTTTTTTTTGATAGTTAAGCCTCCCCTGGGGGGCCCCCTTTGCTGGGGGCCCCCAGGGGCCCTTAAGTCCCAACTGTACCCTTTTTTCATAAAAGAGTTTCTTTTTTGGGGGCCCAACTGTGGCCAAAAAGAGCTAATAGGGCGTTTGGGGGGTTGGGGGATTTAGAGGGTCTTTAGGGGAGAGAAAGGGACTCCGCAGCAGCTGCTGCGCTGCAGCAGCTCAGAGGCCAGCTTGCTGCTGCTGCTGCGCTGCAGCAGCTCAGGGGCCAGCTTGCTGCCGCTCCTACGCTGCAACAGCTCAGAGGCTAGCCCGCTGCAGCTGCTACGCTGCAACAGCTGAGAGGCCAGCATGCTGCAGCTGCTACGCTGCAACAGCTGAGAGGCCAGCATGCTGCTGCTGCTGCGCTGCAGCAGCTGAGAGGCCAGCTTGCTGCTGCTGCTGCGGCGATCGGGCGCTACAGCGCGGCAGCGACTATGAGAGAACCCTTTGACTGTAGAAGCAGGGAATGGGAGGAACTAATAAGTCTGCAGCAGGAAAGTGCAGCTTTAGGGTACTTTGCGTCTTTTTAATTTAGATTATTTCCGCGTTTTGTGGAGAAGAGAAGCCAGGTTGAGTGACAGACAGCGAGCGAAGGCGCAGACGAACAAGTCGGAGGGGGGCCCTGCTTCGAGGGAGGTCTGCTGCTGCTGTGCTAAAGTTGAAAAGAAACCTCTTCAGCTTTGAAAGAGTTGAAATAAATGAAAAGGAGGCTGGCGGCGGCGTTTGGGCTGCGGGTCGAGGCGCTTGCGGTGTACGTACACCTCAGAGCACCGCTGGACCGCCAGCAGTGTCCAAGCGGCGCATCGCGCCGGGAAAGCGAGCATTCTTTAGCGTAAATAGATTAATTTTGAATTAAACTTCTTCAAAGCATTAAATTTGAAGCAAAAGCTTCCCAAAATAGACCTCTTTTGGGCCAGGTCTTCCCCGGCCTCCCCTGAGCGATCGCGCCTGAGGTCGTCAGCGGCGCCTCGGTGGTCCTCTCTGTTCAGCTGGCCTTTTCGAGAAGTTGCTCTTGAGTTTTGTTTCTTTTTGCTTTTGCACATATTTTTTGAGCAGATCCATTTGTTTTAAACTGCAAATCGACGCCCACTGCGCCTCTCCCGAGTGTACAGACACCCAACCGCCGGCGCCGCCACCGCGACAGCTCGCGAGAGACCTCCGCTTCATTTTCTCCCACAGCCTGCGCTCGGGTGTCCAGACAGCTGCGTTCTTTCTCTGAGATTTCCTGGGGATCAACTCGCTGCGAAAAGGTCGCAAGGAAGCTGCAGCCCGCCGCTCGTCTGGGTCGGAAGGCAGCAGCAGCAGCAGCAGCAGCAGCCGCAGCGCAGCAGCCCGCGCTGTACGTACACCCGAGGCCCTCGCCTGCGCCTGCTGCCGCCTCCCCGTCTTCAGTTTTATTATCTCGGGAGGCCCCAGTGGCCTTTTCGCAGCTCTTAAACTGCTGCTGCTGCGGCCAGCTGCTGCGCAAGACCAGCAGAGACAGCGAGCTGCTGCTGCTGCTGCTGCTGCAGTGTCTCTTATCTCTTTTGCTGCTCCGCGCTGGCCCTGCTGCTTCCTCTCAGCCTCTCCAGCTTCAAATCCAATTTCAATTCTTTCTTAAAAAGGCCTTTTTGCTGCTCTCCCGCTTCTTTCGTCGGGCCAGCCCTGCCTGACCACTGGTCCCTGTCCAGCAGCAGCAGCAGCAGCAGCAACAGCGGCGGCAGCAGCAGCAGGGATCTGTACTTCTGCTGCAGCTGCAGCTGACTCTGGAGGCCCCAGAATGAACAGCAACCAACGGGGCCCCTGGGGCCCTCCCGAGGGCCCCCAGGGTCTCTTAAGGGGGCCTCAGGGGGCCCCCATCTTTCCTGGGTCTCTGAAGCAGCTGCAGCAGCTGCAGCAGCTGCAGCAGCTGCAGCAGCTGCAGCAGCTGCAGCAGCCAGTGGCGTTTCCCCAGCCCCACCTCGGCTCTCCCGCCTTCCAGCAGCAGCAGCAGCAGCAGCAGCAGCAGCAGCAGCAAGCAATGGCAGGAGGCCAGTACCCTTTTTGCGCGTGGAGGGCCCCTGGGCAGCCACTCATGGTGCGAATGATCCCCAGCCAGGGGGGCCCCCCTGCCCCCCCCATGGGCCCCCCAGTACCCTCTGAGGGCCCCCCTGGGGGCCCCCTTGGGGGGCCCCCTAGGGGCCTCCAGCAGTACGTTTGCCGGGTCGTGGGACAGGGGCCCCCCTTCCCCCTAAACCCTACGCAGCTGAGGCCCACAGGGGCACCGCAGGGGGCCCCCAGTGGGGGGGCCCCCCTTCCTTCTGTGCAGCTGCTGGGGGGGCCCCAGCAGCTCTCAAGGGGCCCCCAGGACTCGGGGGCCCCCTTGGGGCCCCTGGGGGCCCCCCTCTTCTCCAGGGGTTTGCTGAACCCAAGGGGGCCCTCGGCGAGGGCCCCCAGGGGGCCCCTAGGGGCCCCGCAGCAGTTCCTCTTCAAAGGGGGCGAGCAGCAGCAGCAGCAGCAGCAGCAGCAGCAGATACTTTCCTCTGTTGCGGGCTTGCCCGTGAGAAGGGACCAGCAGCAGCAGCACCACCACCACCAACAGCAGCAACAGCAAACGAGGCTCCAAGGGGCCAGCAGCACACAGCATCCCATGTATGGTAAAATCCATTCTGCTGCTGAGCTCTACAATGCGCGACAAGCCCAGCAGCAGCAACAGCAACAGCAACAGCAGCAACAACAGCAGCAGCAGCAACAGCAGCAACACCACAGAAACACCCCACCGGCTACGGTGGTCTCAAACGAGCTGCAACGGCCCCTCGGTGAGTCTTTCTCAGCAGCAACAACAAGCAAGCAGCAGCAGCAGCAGCAGCAGCACCGGCAGGAGCAGCAGCAGCAGCAGCAGGATTGCCGCTGCGCGTCCCAGCTGCTGCCTCACATAGAGAGCGACTTGAGCGACCGCTGCGGCGCCCCCAAAGTGCGGGCCATATCCGTGCCAACTGCTGCCTCTGCCTCGGCAGCAGCAGCAGCAGCAGCAGCAGCAAAGAGGCACGATCCCCCCATGCTCTGGCAGCCCCCCGAGGAAATAGGGGGGGGGCCCCCCTGCTTGAGCAGGGGCTTGCCCTACCGCCCTTGCCCGGAGGTCTCTGCTGGGGCCCCTGCTGCAGTATTGCCTTTGGAAAGCTGTGGGGGCCCCCCTGGGGCCCCCTTGGGGGCCCCCCTGGGGCCCCTGGGGGCCCCCGGGGGCCCCTGGAGCCGCGCTTCCACGGGGTGGAGGCCCCCCAGGAGGGCTGAGAGGGGCCCCGTTGGCCCCGGGGCCCCTCAAGGGTCTGCAGTGAGGTCAGTCTCAGCGCATGCAGAGAGCCTCAGGGGCTCTTTGGGAGTGGGGGAGAGGGGCCCCCAGGGGGCTTTCCTGGGGGCCCCCCTGGGGCCCCCCCTGGGGCCTCTTCGGGGGCCCCTGAGGGCCCCCGTGGGGCCCCTGCTGGCCCACGAGGCCCACATCTTCAGCCCCAAAGGCAGGCAGCAGCCCCCTGTGGCGCCTGGGCTAAGCAGGGGCCCCGGGGGCCCCCTTGAGGAGACAGAAGCAAAAAGAAACAAAAAGAAAGAAAAAAGAAAAGACAGAGACCGCAGCGAAGAGGACTTGGAGACAGAGACGGGAGACGCGGAGACAGAGGAGCGTTCGCCGAGTGTGGAGACAGTTGAGAGCCGCAGCAGCGGCAGCAGCAGCAGGGAGGTGCCGAAGGAGCCGCAGCAGCAGCACTGCAGCAGCGACAGCAGCAGCAGCAGCCTGCTGCTGAGCCCCCGCCAGGAAGCAGCAGAGCCCGCCGCCGAAGTCGAGCAGGAGAAGTACGTGAAGGTTTTGGTGCCCAAGTACGTCAGCTGGAAAGCCGCACAACAGCAGCAGCAGCAGCAGCAGCAGCAGGACGCCGCAGCAGCAGCAGGAGCAGCAGCAGCGGAGGCGTCGAGCCTCTCGCCCCGCAGCTCGCCGGCCGCGTCGGCGCCGCCCTCCCCCTCCTCCTCCCCCGCCTCCCCCACCCCCGCAGCAGCAGCAGCAGCAGCAGCAGCAGCAGCAGCAGCAGAGGTTCTGTGGGCCGAAGACTTGGCCGTGGACACTTCGCCCGCTGGCCTCGGCCGCGCCGTCGTAGTCAACACAAAACAGTGCAGAGCTGAGCGGCCCCTCATCAACACTTGCGTAGAGCGCCTGGGCTGGCTGCGCGACGACCAGACCACCCACAAAGGCAAGCAGCAGCAGCAGCAGCAGCAGCAGCAGCAGCAGCAGCAGCGGCAGCGGCAGGGGTAGCCGTAGCGGTAGTGGTGAAGGTAGCGGTGAAGGTAGTGGCAGCAGCTGCCGCTGCTGTTTCAGGGCTGTACATAGGGATGCTGTGCGTGCACCGGCTCAAGTAGCAGCGGTAGGAGCAGCAGCAGCAGCAGCAGGTCAACTAGCAGCAGCAGCAGCAGCAGTAGTTAGAGTGCACTCATAAACGCAGAAGCAGTAGCAGCAGGAATAGCAGTTTCAGTCGCGGGGGCAAAAGCAAACGGAGCAGCAGGACGAGCAGGAGTAGCTAGAAGCGCGCGCCGCAGCTGCGCGGCAGCCACAGCAGCAGCAGCAGCAGCAGCAGCAGCAGCAGCGGGTGCGTGTGTGGGGTTTGCAGGGAACATAATATGGCTGGGGGGCTCAGTGCCGGACCACGACCACCTCCGGTTTATGCGGAATGGGCAAATTGTGAATAGACTTCCGGGCATGTGGGACTTAACCAAAAAACGAATGCTTTCCAAAGTCCTTTATTTCTACCAAGACCTTTTCCCCCACCTCTACGACTTCTCCCCCCCTTGCTGGGCCTTTCCCGAGGACAGAGGTGCGCAGTTGCTGCTGCTGCTGCACCTGTGCTGCTGCTGCTGCACCTGTGCTGCTGCTGCTGCACCCGTGCTGCTGCTGCTGCTGCTGCTGCTGCACCTGTGCTGCTGCTGGTGCTGCATCTCATCTCTGGTACTGGTGCTGCATCATCTCTGCTGCTGGTGCTGCTGTTGCTTCACCTCTGCTGCTGCTGCTGCTGCTGCTGCTGCCTCACCCCTGCTGGTGCTGCTGCCGCCTACGCTGTGCCGCCGCCGCTGCTTCTGCTGCTGCTACTGCTGTGCAGCGCGGATAGAGCAGCTGCTGCACCCGCGGAACACGGAAACGTTCATAATAAAGCCGGACGGGGGCGCCATGGGCAGCGGGGTGCAGCTGGTCTCCCGCTGCAGAGATATTGACTCTGTCATTTTGCGCGGAGAGGGAAATTACATAATGCAGAAGTACATCGACAGGCCGCGCCTGCTGCACAAACGCAAGTTCGACCTCAGGGTCTACGCAGCGCTTTTCGCCGTCGCTGGAAAGCTCCAGGTGCTGCTGCTGCTGCTGCTGCTGCTGCTGCTGTTGCTGGTGTTGTGCTGGTGGTGGTCGTCGTCGTTGTTTTGCGTGTCGTGGTGTTGTTGCTTGTCTTGTTGTTCTGGCGTGTCTTGTTGTTGTTCTTGTTGTTGCCGTTGGTGTTGTTGCTCTTCCTGCTGCTGCTTTTTGTCGTTGCTGCTGCTGCTGCTGCTGCTGTTGCGGCAGCAGCAGCAGCGGGGCTGCTTTGGGGCTGCGGGTCACTGCACCTAGGGAGTGATGGGTGTAGGTTGCTGCTGGGGCGCGCTGCTGCGGTCCGCGCTTGCGCGTGTTTCCACCTCGCGCAAGCCAGCAGCAGCAGCAGCAGCAGCAGCAGCAGCAGGTGGTGTGTTGCGGGCGTCAGGTGTTCATTTCGCGCGTGGGAATGGCGCGCTTCTGCACGGACGAGTACCGCCCCCCCACGCGGCGCAACCAAGACAATGCTTTTATGCATTTGACAAATTACTCCATCAACAAAGAAAACAAAAACTCCTTCATCAGATCTCCCGACATCCACAACGCGCGCAACAGCAAACGCCTCCTCTCCGACGTCCTCCGCGAGCTCGCTGCAGAGGGTCCGCAATCCTGCTGCTGCTGCTGCTGCTGCTGCTGCTGCTGTGGCTGCTGCTGTGGTTGTGGCTGTGGTTGCTGCTGTGGCTGCCGTGTTATGTTGGTTGACGGCTGTTGCTTGTATTGCTGCTGCTACTGCTGCTGCTGCTGCTGACTGTCCCGTGCATCTCTGCTTCCCCATGCTGCTGCTGCTGCTGCTGCTGTTCAGGCGTGGACGTGGGCAAGGTGTGGGGCAGCATAAAGGCAATAACGGCGCGGACTTTCGCGTGTCTGCAGCCGTGGCTGGAGCTGCGGTACCGCCACGTGTATCAGCAGCAGCAGCAGCAGCAGCAAGAAACTTCCCGCTGCTTTCAGTTTCTAGGCCTGGACATTCTCCTCGATGCTGATGATAAGTGCTGGCTGCTGGAAGTCAATTCAAATCCTTCCCTCAGAATCGACTATTTCGACTCCCAGGTGCGTCTTCTACTGCTGCTGCTGCTGGTGCTGCTCCTGCTGCTGCTGCTCACAGACACTCAGCAGCAGCAGTTTGCTGCTGGTTTTCGGCAAAAATTGCCTGTATACTGCGGGCGCTCAACTCCACACAGCCTAGTGCACGAACTTGGCTTCTGCAGCATGCAAGGCGCTGCTGCTGCTTATGCTGCTTCTGCTACTCTTGCTGCTCCTACTGCTTCTGCTGCTGCTGTTGTTGCTCCTGATTCTACTCTTGCTCTTCCTGCTTCTGCTCGTGCTGCCTCTGCTCCCGCTTCTGCTATTGCTGCTGCTGCTGTTGCAGTTGCAGGCGTGTTCCAAATAAAGCATATGTCTCTCTAACTATGTAAATGTAAACGTATTATGTACATTGACAGACATTTTTTGTTTGGTTTGCTGCTGATGACGTCCTTGTGAAGGCACACTTATGAAGCAAAAGCAGCACAAAAAGGATAATTAAAATCAAAACAAATAAAAAATAAGCGTGAAATGCTTTTAAATTTCAAGAAGCGCTTCAAATGCATGTAGAAAAACCCTAGATCCGCTTGCATCGTGTTGCTGCTGCTGCTGCTGCTGCTGCTGCAGTGTGGGGGCATTGACGTGCAGCTGGAGAGCGCCCTGGACCGGACCATTAAGGAACCAGTGGTCAGCGAGGCCCTGGCCATTGCCAGCAAGCTGCTGCTGGGTCCTGAGAAGAAGAAAAACAGAGACTGCAGCAAAGAAGCAGCCAAAAAAGCGCCCGCAGCAGCAGCAGCAGCAGCAGCAGCTGGCAGCAAACGCGTGGGGGCTGCGGTTGCAGCAGCAGCAACAGCAACTAAGACTGGCAAAGGCAGGAACCGAGGTGTATGTACAGCAGGAGCCAAAAGTAGAGACAGCGGAGACAGCCAAAAGTCGGGGTGTATGCACACGAGCAGCAGCAACAGCAGCAGCAGCAACAACAACAGCAGCAGCGCCAGCACCCTTTTTTCTGTCGCTCAGACTCTTCCCCTGACTGCAGATGCATCCGCTGCAGCAACTCCAAACGCAGCAGTAAGCACCCATGCTTCTGCTGCTGCTATTGTTCCTTCTGCTGCTGCTGCTGTTGCTGCTGCTTGCTTCTCTTGTCTGCAGCAAGCAGTTAATGCGTGTGTCTCTCCTTTATTCACACCAGCAGTGAGGATTTATAAGTTTGTCTCTGTTGCTGTCTTTGTCCCTTTGTTTCCTCCCCAGAGACAAATGCCTACCAAAGCAGCAGCAGCAGCAGCAGCAGCAGCAGGGGAGAGCTCGCTTCGGGGCTCCCGCGGCCACCCCACACTTGGGCTGGGATCGGTGGGATCGTCTCCTCCGTCTCCAGCTCGCCGCTCCGTTTCTCTTTTTGAACCTCGCTGGGCTTTGGGGGACAAAAGGGACACTCGAAGGTCTCTCAGCACGGAGAGCACCAAGACAAAAGCGGCAGCAGCAGCAGCAGCAGCAGCAGCGGCGACGGCGGGGGCGGGGCCGGAGAAGGAGCGCGCGGCCCCAGGCGCCGCCGCTAAAGCGCCAGCAGCAGCAGCAACAGTAGCAGCAGCAGCAGCACGAGGGACTCCAAAGGCAGCAGGAAGCCTTCGTGCTGGCGGCCTTGGCTGCTCAGCAGCAGCAGCAGCAGGTTCGTCCACCTCGACGGGCTCTGCTGCCACGGCCACCCTCCGAACCAGCAGCAGCAGCAGCAGCAGCAGCAGCAGCAGCAGCAGCAGCAGCAGCTTGCGGCGGGGGAAGGGCTGGGAAGGCCCGCAGGGTGATGGCTCCGACTCTGAAGCAGGGGAACACCGCAGCAGCCCGAAAGTGGATTCGGAGTTGCTGGCAGCAGCTTATAAAGAAATAGAAAAGTGCATGGAGTGTTTCAATGTATTGGGGCTGCGTTTCCAGCCTGCGGGTTTGCTGCCGCTGCAGCAGCAGCAGCAGCAGCACGCGGTGCGGCGCGGCAGCGCGGGCGCCTGCGCTGCAGCAGCAGCAGCAACAGCAGCAGCAGACAAGCAGCAGCACTGCAGCAAACGCAGCAACTCCAGGGCCCCACACGTACCCTTCCGCCCCTTTCTCAGAAAAGACAAATCTCTCTTCAAAAGACCAGCAGCAAGAAGCACTTACACGAAACTGCACAAGGTAGGTTTCTTTTGCTGCTGCAGCTTCTGCTGCAGCTCCTGCTGCAGCTCCTGCTGCAGCTCCTGCAAATGGATAAATGGACTTTTTCTCGCCAGCTTGACTCAACTCTCTTTCATCAATTAAACAGCCAATTAATCAGCAGCTGCATCTTGTTTAACGCTGCTGCTGCTGCTGTTGCTGCTGTTGTTGCTGCTGCTACTGTTGCTGCTGCTGTTGCTGCTGCTGCTGTTTCATTTCCTTCTATCTGCGCCTCACCGGTGGGTTGCTGTGTCTCTCTGAGTGTCTCTGTCTTCTCCCGAGCCCTGCGGCTGGTTTAGCTGCGGCGCCTGACCTGCTGCTGCTGCTGCTGCTGCTGCTGCGCAGGACGTGTTGAAGCCGCTGCCGGAGAGCGCGCTGGGGCCGCAGGGCTGCTGGCTGAGCCTGGAGAAGGAAACAGCAGCAGTAGCAGCAGAAACAGCTCTTATGAGAAGAGTTCAAAGACTTTTTGAAAGAATTGTTTCTTTTCCTCAAAGAATAACTTTGGAAAGAAGCAGGTGGATGGAGGCTTGCGAGCAGGCCAGGCTCGCAGACCTCCTCCGCAAGGTCAGCCAAACCCTAAACCCTAAATCCTAGCAGCAGCGGCAGCAACAGCAGCAGCGGAAAATCCGCTGCAACCGCGGGCCTTGAGAGAGCTTCGCGGGCCCAGGGGCCATCGCCCAGGACGTGTTGCAGTTACAAGTAGAGGTCCTGGGGTTTAGGGTTTAGAGTTTAGGGTTTAGGGTTTAGGGTTTGGGGTTTTGTGTTTAGGTCTACGTGCCCGCAACACCCTCTCCTGCGCGGCCTGCTCGAAGCAGCGCCCCGCAGCCTCCCTTCAGCTCCTTCCGGCCCTCCCCGCAGCAGCAGCAGCAGCAGCAGCAGCAGCAGCAGCAGCAGCAGCAGCAGCAGCAGCGGAAGGTAGCTCGCTCCGCCTCTGTCTGCCGCAGCGCGAGCTCCTGCTCCCTTCTGACTGACTTCACCGAGGGAGGGGGAGGGGCCCCCGGGGCCCCGGGGGCCCCCGGCGCCCCAGGGGCCCCCGGGGGTCCCGGGGGGGCCCCCAGCCTGGGGGCCCCTCCCGTGGGGCCCCCCAGCCGTGGCGGGGGGCCTCTAGTGAGGCAGCGCAGCAGCGCGAGCCTCAGCTGGCTGGCGGGGGGCCCCCGGAAGCGGCGAATGACTGCAGCAGACCTGGAGCTGCTGTTCCTGCAACAGCAGCAGCAAATGCGGCGGCAGGCGCAGCTGCAAGACAACAGAAGGGGCCTCGGGCTGCTGGAGTTTGCACAAATGCTGAAGCTTCTGGCTGTGCTGCTGCTGCCAGTGCTGCCCCCCAAGGCCTCGCTGGTGGCGCTGCTGCTGGAAGACCCCGGCGCAGACCCCAAGGGGGCCCTCGACAAGGTTGTCGAGGTCATTGACCAGCAGCAGCAGCAGCAGCAGCAGCAGCAGGGGGGGGAGCACGGCGAGGCGCACAAAGGCAGGCCCGGCGAACGCCCCAAGGGCGCAGCAGCAGCTGCGGCTGTTGCTGTGGAGGAGGAAGCAACGAGCAGCAGCGAGGTGACCCAGGAGACTGACTGCAGCAGCAGCAGCAGCACCAGCAACAGCAGCAAAAGCGAAACCTTCGACGAGGGCCCCCTAGAGCCCGTGGCAGGGGCCCCCGTGTCCCTGGGGGGCCCCTCCCCTTCATGCGGGGCCCCTGCTGCTGTACCATGGGGCCCCCAGGGGCCCCATGGGGGCCCCCCGCCCCTCCCGGGACTGTCCGCGAGGCCCCTAACTGCAGCAGAAGAGTCCCTTCCTTTGCTGCTGCGCAAAGTTGCAGAGGGAGCTTCGCAGCTAGAAGTGCTGGAAGTTAATCAGCGGCACTTGGAGCTGCATCTGCAGCAGCTGCGGGAGCTTCGGCAGCAGCAAGCGGCGAAGCAGGCGGCGCTGCTGCGCCAGAGAGACGCAGCGGCAGCAGCTGCTGCTGCTGCGGGCGGCGGCGGACTGGCTGCAGCAGCAGCAGCAGCAGGCAAGGCTGGCCACGAGGCGCTGCTGAGCATTGCAAACGCAGAAGAGATGTTCGGGCCGCGGCAGGGGCCGCGGCAAGGCCGAGAGAATGCAGCAGCAGCAGCGGCAGCAGCAGCAGCAGCAGCAGCAGCAGCAGCAGCGCTGCAGCAGCTAAGCCAGGAGATCAATGCATGCGAAGCAGGCATTCGAAATGCCTCACATGAATTAGGCAAAACTCTCCAAGTTCGTGCTGCTGTAGCCAGCAGGCACCAGCAGCACCAAATGCAGCTTGCCCACATTCGCGCGCAGCAGCAACTGCAGCAGCAGCAGCAGCAACAGCAGCAGCAGCAGCAGCAGCAGCAAATGCAGGTGCAGGCCAGACAAAAGAAGGAACAGACAGCCCTGCCACCCTCTGCCCCCGCTGCAGCTGGAGGGCCCCCGGGGGCCCCTGCAGCACCCAGCCAAGGCCCCCGCAAGAAGACAGGGGGGGCCCCCGGGGGGCCCCAAGGGGGGCCCCCACTTGCTGAGTCTCTAAAGAGCAGCAGCAAACAACACAAGGCAACTCTTAAGGGCCCTGCGCAGGAGCTGCGGAGCATTTCTGCGGAAAAGAAGGAAGGGGGGGGCCCCCTGGGGGGCCCCCACAAGAAAGGGGCCCCTGGGGGGCCCCCAGGCTCTGGGGGCCCCCAGGGGCCCCAGGGGCCCCACGGGGCCCCTGGAGAGGGTTTGGAGTGGCACGAGACCCTCTGCAGCGCCTGGCCAGACTTGAATTCTCAAGTTATGAGTATGGTCCCGAAAGAAGTCCTAAAAGAGGCATTTCAGCTGCTAATTGACTTCATAGAAATCCGGCTGGACCTCCACCACTGCAGCACACAATGGGGTGCCCCCCTGAGCCTCTCAGGGTCCTCGGGGGCCCCAGGGGGGCCCCACTAGAACTCCCGGGGGCCCCAGGGGGGCCCCACTAGAACTCTTGGGATCCCCAGGGGGGCCCTACTAGCTGCTGCTGCAGGAATTTTAGAGCAATTAAAGGAGGCAGCAGCAATTAAATGGCCTTTTATTTTAAAATTTATAAATGGAAAAGCTGTAGAGGCTTCGGCGGTTTGTGCCAATGCCTTTGCTGCGTTGGCCCTCGGCAACGCGGTGTACGTACACCTCACCAACTGCAGCGGCGCTGCTGCAGCTGCTGCTGCTGCACTTCAGGAACAGCAGCGGCGCGTTTGCTGCTGTCTACGCACCCCACAGGAGCAGCAGCGGTGCTGCTGCTGCTGCTGCTGCAGCAGCAGTTCATTGCTGAGGGTGGTTTGCTTTTTAGCTTGGCCGAGAACAGCTTTATTCGGCTAGACAATTGGGTTCTTAATCCCAACTCAATAAATAAGTTTTATACAGATAAAATAAATAATAATTAGTTAATTAATTAAACTTTAAATAAATAAATTTAAATAAATTAAATTCAAATAAATAACTCAACTGCAGCTAACTTAAAATGCCGTTTGGCTCGCCCGCCGCTAGCAGCAGCTGTGGGTACACTTCAGCAGCAGCAGCAGCGAGCAGCAGCAGCAGCAGCGAACAGCAGCAGCAACCTCAGCAGCAGGCCTTCTCTCTACAAGGTGGGACCCAGCAACTGCAGCAGCAGCACTAGCAGCGGCAATACCCGCAGCAACAGCAACAGCTGCAGCAGCAAATACAGCTGCTGAGGCAAAACGAAAGCAGCAGCACCTGAGTGCGCCTTTACTCAGCAGCAATCTGGACCCTCACCTACTGCTTTTACTGCTGCTGCTGTTCCTGCCTTTGCTGCTGCCGCTTCTTTTGTTGTTGTTGCTGTTATGGCTGCTGCTGCTGCTGCCGCTACGGCCATTGTTGCTGCTGCTGCTGCCGCTACGGCCATTGTTGCTGCTGCTGCTGGCACTACAACTATTGGTTTTGCTGCGAAGTTGGTGCCACTGTTATTCGAGGTAAGCAGCAGCAGCAGCTGCTGCTGCTGCTGCTGTTGGTACACTTATTGTTATTGCTGCTGCTATTGTTGCTGGTACCCCTATTGTTATTGGTGCTGCTGTTGTTGCTGCTGTTAATAGCGTTATTGCTGCGCTTGCTGCTGCTACTGCTGCTGCGGTTGCTGGCGTTGTTACTGCTGCTGCTGCTTCTTTAATTGCTGCTCCTACTATTATCATTGCTGCCACTCCTGTTGCTGCTACTGTTATTGCTGCTGCTGCTGCTGCTGCGATCATTGCTGCTGCTTCTGCTACCACCCCGCGCTGCTCCCTCGTGCAGCCAGCCCACGTTTGGAGCAGCATTTAAGTTTTAAAACTATAAAAATAAAATTAAAAAGTTTTAATTCAAAGTTTTCCTGAATTTCACGTCTTGGGGCTTCGTTGCCCCTCTTGGAGTGCTCTGCGCGGCGGTCACGCGGCCGCGGCGGTGTTGAAATGGCGGAGGCTTCGTGCGGGAAAAGAGGGAATCTCGTTTTAAAAAAGGAAACTCTGGAGGGAAAAGAGTAGTTAAACAAAAATTTGGTTGGATTTTGGGGAATTTCCTGGAAAAAGTGCAGCTTTCCGTGGGCGGGGCCCTCAGCCAGCAGCCGCAGCCGCTGCCGCGCTGCATGCACAGAACGAGACGTGAACGAATATCTTTTCAACTCTCTTCCTTCTATTTGCCGTTTAGTGTTTAATTGGAAAGGACCGCTGCAGAGGCTCCCAGGGGCAGCCGGGCTGGGTTTCCGTTTGCAGGGTGGAGGCACCGCGCCGGAGGATTTCGGGGAAATAAAGTCCATTTTCCGCGTTTTTCTCATGAATTCAACACTTTTTGTCTTTTGCAGTTGCGGCGCGGCCTTTGTTTCGACGAAAAAGGTCCCAATTGGCGCATTTCGCCCGCGGGTTTCCCCGCGTGTCTGAGGTGTACAGACACCTGGCGTCGGCGCGATCACACGCCCGAACACTCCCGCGATCTCAGTCCACATCATTCTGCAGACTTCTTCAAAACTGCTGCTCGACTTCTGCAAAAGATTCTCTTTTTTCTTCTCTTCAGCTGAGAAAATGCTGCCAGCAGCTCCCAGCTGCTGCGTCCTCTCCCGCCCCCGCCTGGGAGCAGCAAACGCCCTCATGGGCCGTTTTGCTGCGCGCCACCGCCGCTTCTTGACCCCGAGGGCCTTCACCAGCAGCTCTATCGGCCCTGCAGCAGCAGCTGCTGCTTCTGCTGCTCCCTACGCGCCCGATCGCCACCCCGCCTCTGACAAGCACCAAGCAGCAGCAGCAGCAGCAGCAGCAGCAGGCACTCCGCGCAGGGAGCACGTCGTGGTCTTGGGCACCGGCTGGGCCGCCGTGAGCTTCGTCCGAAACCTGGACCCGAACAAGTGCGTGCCTCCCTGCAGCAGTGCTGCTGCTGCTGCTGCTGCTGCTGCTGCCCGTTCCGCTGCAGCAGCAGCAGCAGCAGCAGCAGTTCCTGCCTCTATTTAGTTCAACCGCGCTTTCCAGCTTTCCCAAGTGCCATTTGACGGTGTCCCTGTTCTTTGCGGACTCTACGCATCTCAGTTTCTGTTCGTTTATTGAATTTGCCATTTGCTGCTGCTGCGCTGCTGCTGCTTCTGCTGCTGCTGCGCTGCTGCTGCTGCTGCTGCGCACGGGCGCTGTGGGGCTCGCAGGTTCGAAGTGACGGTCATTTCGCCTCGAAATTATTTCACCTTCACTCCGCTGCTTCCCAGCGTCTGCGCCGGCACCCTCACCCCCCTCAGCTGCATTGAGGTGCTGCTGCTGCTGCTGCTGCTGCTGGGGTTGTTATTGTTATTGTTGCTCCCGCTGCTGGCGTTTCTACTGCTGCTGGAGTTGCTGCTGCTGCTGTAGTTCTTGTTGCTGCTGCTGGCGCTGCTGCTGGAGTTGCTTCTGCGTCTGCTGGAGTTGCTGCTGCATTTGCTGGAGTTGCTGCTGCATATGCTGGAGTTGCTGCTGCTGCTGCTGGAGTTGCTGCTGCTGCTGCTGCGAGCTTGGCGTACTGCGCGGGTGCGCAGCAGCTCTTTGTTCCCGCTGTTGAGGCGTTTGGTTTATGAAGGGAAAAGAGTTGATTGGTTCATTAAAGAAAGGAACAAGTGTTTAAAATATTTATTTATTTATTTAATTTGCTGCAGTTTGCTGCAGTTTGCTGCCTCTGCTGCTGCAGCCCATCAGGGGCTTCTCCCGAGACCGCAACGGCCGCCGCCTTTTGAACTTCTACGAGGCGCACGCGACGGACATTGATTTTGAAAACAAGAGAGTTTGTGGGGGAAACTGGCGAAATAAATGCAAAATAAATCTATTTTAATCAAATAATTCAAATCGTTTCAAATTATTTCACTTTATTTCAGTTTAATTCTTCTTTTTGCAACAATTCAAGTCCAGTTCGCATTCGAGAAACTGCGCGGCGTTTCTGAGGTGTATGGACAGCTCGGACTGCAGTTCTTCAATTTTTCTTCTCTCCGAGTTTTTGTTTCTTTTCATTTATTCATTTATTTTAAACGAACAAATGGAAAAATAAATAAACAAATAGATATAAATAGAATAAAATGAATGAGTCAATTAGATAAGTCGGGGCTTCGATCGCTGAGTGTTCGAGTGTTTGCGCTGCTGCTGTCACCGCTGCTGCTGCCGTTTCCGCTGCTGCTGCTGCCTGCCTCCCCCGCCGCTGCTGCTGCTGCTGATGCGCTGCTGCTGCTGCTGCTGCTGCTGCAGCGTGCGCGAGCCGCACCTCGAGCTTCAAAGTGGACTACGACAAGCTGGTGCTGGCAGTGGGAACGGATCCCAACACCTTCGGAGTTCCCGGAGTTGAAGAAAATTGTTTTTTTCTCAAAGAAGTGGAACATGCAGTTCAAATTCGAAAACGCGTTATGGCCAACTTCGAAACTGCTGCGCTCCCGAGTCCGTTTGCTGCAGCACAATTGCAGCTGCTGCAGCAAATGCAGTTCTTTCCATTTCCACTTTTCTTTTCTTTTCTTTTTCTTTTTTTCTTTTCTTTTCAACTTCTTTTGTCTCTTTGAAAGCCTTTTGCCAGTTGCAATTTGGAAAGTCTTTTTAATTCATTTGTTCTTCGAATTCGTCTTTTGCTTTTGTCTCTTGTTGTTTTTTGTATTTATTATTTTTTATTTGTATATTATTTGGTATTTATATTTATTATTTATTATTTATTATTATCATTTATTATTTGTTATTTATTATTTTTAGTTATTTCTACTTTATTTGTTGTTCGCTGCTTTCGAGCTGCGGCTCTGCCGTTGCTGTTATTAATCCGTAATAATAATTATTCATAATTTGCCATGAATTATTTAATTATAATTAATAATTAATAATTAATAACTAATACTTAATGATTGATAATTAATAATTAATAATTATTAATTATTAATTTGTTATTATTCGAGTTCATTAATCACCATTCATAGTTGCTGCTGTCCGCTATAAAAGCACGGCCCACGCGGCGCGCTAGGGTTTAGGGTTTAGGGTTTAGGGTTTAGGGTTTGTGCGGCTCAGCAACATCGCAGCAAGAGAGGGAGCGGCTGCTGCACTTCGTGGTGGTTGGGGGGGGCCCCACAGGTGTAGAGACAGCAGCAGAGTTTGCAGACTTTATAAGAGAAGACATGAAGCGCATTTTCCCTGAAGTGCGCCTCCCCTATACCCCTTTTTAGGGTTTAGGGTTTAGGGCTGGGGTTTGGGGTTTGGGGTTTGGGGTTTAGGGTTTAGGGTTCAGGGTTTCGGATTTAGGGACTGGCGTTTGGGACTAAGGGTTTAGGGTTTGGGGTTTGAGATGTAGGGTTTAGGGTTTAGCTGCTGCTACTTCTGCAGCGGCTGCCCCTGCTTTGCCTTGCTGCAGCTGCTGCATGCTGCTTGTTCTGCTGCTGCTGCTGCTGCTGCTGCTGCAGCTGATGCCCCACGTTGCAATAACCCTGGTGGAGGGGGGCCCCCGGCTGCTGCCAACATATGCCCCAGAAATCAGCAGCTACGCGCAGCAAGTGCTGCAGGAAACCCTGAAAGTGCGGCTGCTGCTGCAGCACCAAGTTGTTGCTGTTGGCGAGAAAACCCTCACCTGCAAGAGACTCAGCGGCGGCAGCAGGCAGCAGCAGGAGCAGCAGGAGCAGCAGCAGCAAAACAATGAAGTACGTTCGGAGCCAGTTCAGCTGCAGCCAGCCAGAAGCACACATCTGCTGCTGCTGCTGCTGCTGCTAGCTCTAGTGACACTGCTGCTGTTGCTCCTGTTGCTGCTGGTCCTGCGTCTGCTGCTGCGAGCTCTAGTGCTGCTGCTGCTGCTGGCCCTGCTGCTGCTGCTGCTGCGTTTGCGTGTAATTGGGGGCACCTATGGTGCGGGCATTGTTTCCTCTCAGTTTTTTTGCTGCTTTTGTCTCTCCCTGTCACTGCCTTCTGCTCACAAACCCTAAACCCTAAACCCTAAACCCTAAGTTCGGGTCAATTGTTTAAATCTTTTTATTTTTGCAATTCAGGAAAAAGTAATTCAGCAGGGCTTCGTGCTGTGGGCCAGCGGCGTGGGCCAAGTGCCTCTGGTGCGCAAGCTGCTGCAGGAGCGGCTGCCGCCCCCCCCCAGCAGCAGCAGCAGCAGCAGCAGCAGCAGCAGGGGGGGCCTCAGGGCCCTTCCTGTAGATGAACACTTGAGGGTTTATGGTGCTGCTGGCGTTTTTGCTGCTGGCGACTGCGCGCTGCTGCTGCCGCGGCGTTTAGCTGCTGAGACGGATGCGCTGTGGACTGCTGCTGGGCAAGTCGAACTTGGCCAATTAATTAAATAATTACTTATTTATTTAATTAAATTAGTTAATTAATAATTAAATTAATTAGCTTTATTCCATTCATTGTTTCTTTTGGAGGCTGCTGCTGCGGTTTCCGCGGAAAAACGAGGCTAAGAGCTGCCAGGGATGCTCCCAGCTGCGCGCGAGGGTTTAGGGTTAGGGTTTAGGGTTTAGGGTTTGGGGTTTGTTGTTTGGGCCTGCAGCAGCTGCGACGTGAGCCTGTCTTGGCTGCAGCAGCAGCTGCCGCGGCTGCAGCAGCAATATCCCCAATTGAATCCTCTGAAGTTTGATTTGAAAAAAGAAAAGGATGAAGGGCCTTTAACGAAGCAGCAGCTGCAGCAATTGCTGGGTCAGGATTTCTCTTGTGTCTTTGCAGTTTGCTGCTGCTGCTGCTTCTCTTCCCACTGCTGCTGCTCCTCTTCCTGCTGCTGCTGCTTCTCTTCCTGCTGCTGCTCAGAGTGTTACTGCTGCTTCTAATATTACTGCTGCAGCTCTCCTTCCTGCCGCTCCCTCGCCGCTGCCCCCTCGCTGGTGCTGCACCTGCTGCTGCTGCTGCTGCTGCTGCTGCTGCAGAGCGCATAGACGCAGCCTACCGGCCCCCCGCGCCCACGGCTCAGAACGCGCGGCAGGCGGGAATTTATTTGGCGCGGAAGTTCAACTTGGGTGGGGGCCCCGCGTTTAGCGAGGAGTGGAAGGGTTCTTTGGCGTATGTCGGTGCGTTTTTTTCTTTTTTTCGACAATTTAATTCCATTTTCCTTCCTTTTTATTTCATTTTGTCGTATTTCACTTTGCTTTCTTTTGCTTCCCATTAATTCGCTCTTTCCTGACGTTTTTAGCACCCGGGGGAGCCCAGGACGCATTTTGCCGCCCCGCTGCTGCTGCTGCTGCTGCTGCTGCTGCTGAGGGCTGGGGCTCCACAAACCCTCATAAACCCTTATTAACCCTAGCAAACCCTAAGTGCAGCTTTCTTCGGAAATCTCTCCCTTAATCCCCCTCGTTCGATTTGGTCAAATTCCTTTGTTGCTGCTGCTGCTGCTGCTGCTGCTGCTGCAGGTAACCACAACGCGGTGGCGCAGCTGCCAGGGTATATTGTCACTGGAGGTTTCTTCTCCTTGCCTCTGTGGAAGGTAAAATATTGCTGCTGCTGTTCCGGGTCCTTCGAGTTGCTGCTGCTGCTGCTTTTGTTGCTACTGCTGCTGCTGCTTTTGCTGCTGCTGCTGGTGTTGCTTCTCACCGTCTGCAGCTGCAGCCACTGCTGCTTGTTCTGCCATTCTCGCTGCTGCCGCTTCTGTAGCTGCTGCTCCTTGCTCTGCCACCGCCGCTGCTGCTGCCTCCACCGCTGCTGCTGCCTCCACCGCTGCTGCTGCTGTCACTGCTCTGCTGCTACCACTCCTTTTGCTGCTGCTGCTGCTGCTGCTGCAGGCCGTGTACGTGCAGATGCAGCTGACGTGGCGCATCCGTTTGATCTGCTGCTTTGACTGGCTGCGGACTCTTTTTGCTGGGCGAGATGTGGGACGGGAGCACAGCTATTACAAATAGGGGAAAAGAAAAAGGAAAAATAAAATAATTAAATAAAACAATTAAAAATAACAATTAAAGTAATAATTAGTCTTCAAATAATAATTCTTTATTTGAGAAAGCAGTGATAAGGCACGCGAAGTGCTTTTTGCTGCTGCTGCGCGGCGGCAGCGGCACTGCCCAGCTGTACGACGAGCCACAGCAGCAGCAGCAGCAGCTGCTGCAGCAGCACGATCTGCAGCAGCTGCAGCAGCAGCAGTTGCTGCTGCAGCAGGAAACTTTTTGTTAGTGAATAAAATAAAGGCTCTAAGAGGAGAAAGGAGGCTGCAGTAGCAGCAGCAGCAGCAGCAAGAGGTGCAGCAAGCAGCAAACAAATGAAACGAAGTATATAAGCAGCAACCTTTAAATATTTGTTTTTTATATTCTAAGTCCGTTTTCTGCTCCCTTTGCTCCCTGAGGGCCAGTTGCCAAATCCCAGTAGCAGCTTTTTCCACAAGGGGCCCGCCAGGGGGCCCCCCAGCGGGTTCCTTAGGGGCCCCCCCGGGGGGCCCCCCGGGGCCCCAGGGGTCTTTTGGGTGCTTCAGGTGGCCTGAAGGGCCCCCAGGGGACGCCCAGATGGAGGCCTGAGCTTTGAAGGGCCGCTGGGGGGCCCCTGGGGCCCCTAGGGGACTTTAGGGTGTCTTGTGGCTGCAGCACACTTAGGGTGTACGTACACCTCAGTGTGGGGTGTACGTGCGGGGGGGCCCCACACAAGTGGCATCTTTAAATAAATGCATGCAAATAAATGAATTGCAAATAGATCAAAAGATACTTCTCTTAATAAGTTTGTGAATATTCTTTTGTTGTTTTTATTCTATCAAGAGAAGCAAACGGAAACTCTGTAACTACTTTCGTTTATTTCCCACTTTGAGGGCCCCCTTGTACCCGGGGGGCCCCTGGGGCCCCTCTGTACCCTAGGGGCACCTCAAGTACCCTAAGGGCCCATGGGGCCCCCCTGTACCCTAGGGGTCCCATAAGTACCCTAAGGGCCCATGGGGCCCCTCTGTACCCTAGGGGCCTCTGGGGCCCCCCAGATGTGCTCTGGGGGCCCTTGGGGGCCTTGTGTACCCTAGGGGCCCCTGTGGTCCCATATGTTATCTGGGAGTCCCTGGGGCCCCCGCTGTACCCTAGGGGCCCCTGGGGCCCCTTCTGTACGCTAGGGGCCCCTGGGGCCCCAGATGGGGTTGGGGGGCCCCTGGGGCCCCGTCTGCAGCCTGAGGGTTTTGGTCGTTTGCCTCGGGGCCTGGGGACACTTCCTAGGGTTTATAAGAGTGCAGTGGGGCCCCTGGGGGCTTCATTGGGTTCAAGGAGTAGGCCGTTGGGAGGTGTAGGGTTTAGGGTTTAGGGTTTAGGGTTTAGGGTTAAGGGTTTGTGGCGCGTCGCGAAGAAGAGCTGTCTGATCTGCGGGAGCGACATGGGAGTAAATAGCTTTTTAAAAATGCAAAAAAGTTTGAAATGAATTTATTTTTGGAGGAAATAAAAGCTTGGAAACCCCACAAGGAGGGCCCCTGCTTTGCTGCTGCTGCTGCTGCTGCTGCTGGTGGAGCTGCGGCGAGCCCCGGGGCTGCATACAGCTGCCGGCGGGCGGTTCTCTGGCGAATGAGTTTGTTTTTTGGGTTTAAAATAAAAGGAAATAAATAAAAAGGAAAACAAATTCGTTTTCTTTTTGAATTGGATCGACTGCGGCGCGAGCGGGCTTCGAGGCGTTCGTCGGGCGTTGCGTTTGCTGCTGCTGCTGCTGCTGCTGCTGCAGCAGGCGGCCTCCTGCGTCCGTTGTTCGCAGTTTTTGCGGTTTTGCTGCTTGTTTGAAACGAATGGAATTAAAACTGCATTTTACGCGGAAAAGTAGTTGGAATTAACCTTCGAAGCCGCGTGCAGCAGCCTGCGTCCCCCGCAGCAGCAGCTGCTGCTCCTCCTTCGCTGCAGCAGCAGCAGCAGCAGCTCCCGCCCCCCCACAATGCCGAGCGCGTGTTCCCCCCCCCTCCCGTGACGAAGAAGAACAGCCCTCCCTCCCGTTTCCCACCCCCCGGCCCCCTCCCGCCGCCGCTGCTGCTGCGCTGCTGCTGCTGCTGCTGCTGCTGCGGAAATGCCCGTGCTGTACCACCTCAGCCTACAGAAACCCACGGCCGCCGTGGCCGCAGTCCACGGCAGCTTCAGCGCCCCCAGAGTTCAAGAAGTTGTGGTGAATAGGGGGCGGCTGTTGGAGCTGCTGCGGCCAGACGAAGAAGGCAAACTGCACTCCATCTGCAGCACAGATGTCTTTGGAATCATCCGCAGCATCGCCACCTTCCGCCTCACGGGTCTGCTGCTGCTGCTGCTGCGGCGGCGGTTCTGCTGCTGCTGCTGCTGCTGTTTTCAGAGGCCTGCTGCTGCTGCTGCTGTTCGGGTGCTGCTGCTGCGCTGCCGCGCGTGTTTGGTTGGTTGGAACGAGACAGCGAACAAGCAGCAGCTAAGTGGAATTTAAATGAATTAAATGAATTAAATGAATTAAATTAATTAAATTGAATTGAGTTAAATGAATTAAATGGTCTCAGGAGCCCTGACGGACTACATCGTGTTGGGCAGCGACTCCGGGCGTTTGGTGATAGTTGAGTTTGACGCGAAGAACAATCTTTTCAAGCGCGTGCACTGCGAGACTTTTGGCAAAACAGGTCCATTTAACGAAACACATAAAACAAAATAAATAAATTTGATTAAATTAATTCAGTTTAACCAATTCAATTCAATTTGGCTCCTTGAATTCGATTCGTTTGACCCATTTCCCCCGCCATTGCGCCCGAAAGCGCTTCCGCCGCTGCCGCTGCCGCTGCCGCTGCTGCTGCTGCTGCTGCTGCTGCTGCTGCTGCTGCTGCTGTTTGGCGGCGGCGCGATGATTTTGGCGACTGTCGCGCTGCTTCTTGCTGCTGCCGCTGCTGCTGCTGCCGGTGCTGGAGCTGTTGGCGGCGGCGCAAGGATTCCGGCGGCTGTGGCGCCGCTTCCTGCCGCTGCTGCTGCTCGGCGGCGACTCTCGGCTGCTCCTCGCTGCTGCTGCTGCTGCTGCTGCTGCTGCAGGGGTGCGTCGCGTGGTGGCGGGGGAGTACGTGGCGGTGGACCCGCGGGGGCGGGCGCTGATGGTGGCAGCAGTGGAGCGGCAGAAGTTTGTTTTCGTTTTGAACAGAGACGCAAAAGCTGCTGTCACCATTTCTTCGCCGCTGGAGGCCCACAAGAGCCACATCGCCTGCCTGGACCTTTGCGGCCTCGACGTGGGCTTCGAGAACCCCCTCTTCGCCACGCTGGAGCAGCCCTACCCGCAGCCCCACAAGGGCGGTCCGCCGCTGCTGCTGCTGCTGCTGCTGCTGCTGCTGCTGCTGGTGGTGCTGGTGGTGCTGCGCTGGTTGCTGCTGCGCGGTTGCTGCTGCTGCTGCTGCGCTGGTTGCTGCTGCGCGGCTGCTGCTGGTGGGCCGCCGTGGCTGGCGCGGGCGCGCGCCGCAGCTCCTGGGGAGCAGCAGCGACCGGCCGCCGCCGCTGCTGCTGCTGCTGCTGCTGCTGCAGGCGTGCGGAAGAGCCCGCGGGTGCTGTGCTTCTGGGAAATGGACTTGGGGCTGAACCACGTGGTGAAGAAGGCGAGCCAGGAAGTGCCGGAGAGCGCGCACCTGCTGGTGCCAGTGCCCGGGGGGGGCCCCCAGGAGGGCCCCGGGGGCGTGCTGGTTTGCTGCAGCAGCAGCGTGGAGTACCGGAAGCTGGACCACGCAGCAGTCTGCTGCAGCATCCCGCGGCGGCTGGAGGTGGGGGGCGAGCAGGAAGTGCTGATTTGCTGCTACGCGGCGCACCGCATGAAGGGCTTCTTCTTCATTTTGCTGCAGTCGGAGCTGGGGGACTTGTTCAAAATCGAAGTGACGCATGCAGAAGGCACGGTGCAGGACCTGAGCTGCAGGTACTTCGACTCGCTGCCCGCTGCAGCAAACTCCCTCTGCGTGCTGCGCTCGGGGTACCTGTTTGCTGCTGCGGAGTTCGGGCCCCACAGGCTCTACCAGTTCACCGGCATCGGCACTGCAGCAGCAGACCCGCGCTGCAGCGCCAGCCACCCGCTGGGCGCAGCAGCAGTCATCGCCTTCAAGCCGCGCCCGCTGCGCAACTTGCTGCTCTCCGACTTGCTGCCGTCTGCGTCTCCAGTGCTGGACCTGCAGGTGCTGGACGCGCAGGGCACGGGGGGGGCCCCCCAGCTGTACCTGCTTTGCGGCCGGGGGCCCCTCTCCGCGCTCAAGGTGCTGCAGCGGGGCCTCGGCGTGGAGGAGCTCGCGGACAACGAGCTTCCCGGCTTTCCCAGGGGCCTCTGGACGCTGCGGGAGAGTCCGGAGGGCCTCTTCCACAAGTTCATTTTGGTGGCTTTCGAGGGCAGCACTCTCGTGCTCCAGGTGGGGGACACCGTCGAGGAAGTTTCCAACACTCCCTTTGCTGCTGCAGCGACCACGCTCCTCGCTGCTCTCTTCGCCGACGGCTCTTACGTCCAGGTCCTTGAACACGAGGTCCGCCACATCCGGGGGGCCCCGGGGGGCCCCGGGGGCCCCCCGGGCTCCGCGGGGGCCCCGGGCGGGGCCCCGGGGGGCCCCGGGGGGGGCCCGGGGGCCCCCGTCGCCGTCTGGAGGCCCCCCGGCGACCGCAGAATCCGCGCTGCTGCAGCGAACCAGCAGCAGCTGCTGCTCGCGCTCTCCGGCGGCGACGTGCTGCTGCTGGAGCTCGACGAGCTGGGGGCCCTCGAGGAAACTGCGCGCAAGCAACTCCACGTTGAAGTCTCTTGTTTGGCCCTTCTGGAGGCCCCCGAGGGCCGCAGCAGGGGCCCCTTCTTGGCCGTGGGGGCCCTCGACAACGTGGTGCGCGTCCTCAGTGCGGAGAAGGAGAAGCAAATGAAGCAGCTTTCCGTTTTGCTGCTGCCAGCAAACGCCACGCCGGAGTCCGTCTGTCTTGCTGCAGCGCAGCCCAGACCCAGCGCCGAAAGCAGCATC